TTTATTAATTTCTATGAGGACTTTATTTCTGCCCTGCTTCTGAAAGATACAAAGAGGAAATTGCAGCTTTTGTGGTTTCTTAAGGAATGAATACAATCTAAATGACCCTAAATTTCAGAGCAGGAGTTGAACTTTAGGATTTCTTTTGTTGGCTTACCTCCAGCTGCCTTATAAGAAGAACATGATTTTTGGTTCATATTTATATTTTCAGATGTTGACTCATCCCCTTCACTGATTTTGTCTTTTTATTTAAGAAAATATCCTTCATGAATGATTGAATTGTTAGACTCATGCATCCATTTGCTCTGTCTCCTGATATTACAAAGACTTTTTTCAGAAAATGACATTACAAGATTCCTGGCAGATGATTGGATTGGCAAATAATTCAGGCAGATGTGAAAATAATATCAATGACAAATAAGAAAAATTCAATACATATAACAGTACCAAGCATTCATGAGGATGTGGGGGAAGATGAAACCACATACATGTTGGTTGGAGTGTAAATTGGTTTGCTGACTTTGGAGAGCAATTTGTGAGTACTTTGTAGAGGTGAATTTGCACCTGGTGTCCATCCTACTATTTTATTACTTCTTTACCCTAGAAAACCCCAGGCATTTGTGCACAGGGAGAGTCTTTGAGCAGGTTTGTAACAAGGGAAATAATCCGTTTAACAGTGAATAAATGTATAAACCATTGTTTATTCAAATAATTACTATGCAAAGATTTGTAATGAATGTTCCAGATCTACAAGAGTAAGTATGGTTTATTTCAAAAATGCAATGCTGAATAAAAAAGAGTAAGTTGCAAATTATACTTTAAGTATAATTCATTTATGTAGAATTTAAAAATAGTACTATTTATGGATGCTACATATGTAATGAAGTAGAAGAATGTCATGAATCTAATACACATCAGCATTAGGATAGTGGTTACTGCTGGGGAGGAAGATGGCAGATTGAGGGTAGAGATGTAGGTGTAACATTTCATTTTTTAGAAAAGAAAGTGAGAGAATTGAAGTAAAGAAAGCAAAATATTAGTGTATGCTTAATCTTGGTATTTTAGCATTGTTACACTTACAGATACCTGTCACATTGTATTTTGTACTCATATTTTTAAATGGTTTTATAGTTAAGGAAAAAAAAAGTCCTAATTACTGGTTGTGAAGGGCTGAGTTCAACCAGGTGAATGTCAACTTCATGGGGTAAAATCACCCCATGAAGTAGGGAATTGAAGAGGTTTTCTCCTAAGCTGGCCCAAGGGAGTAACAAGAGGAATTAATTTATCAAGGAATGAACTTTGAAAATAGACCAGGACATATTGCTGTTCTCATGGGAACTTAATCTCTTTCAAATAGTCTTCTTTAAAGAAACCTTAAGAAGTTAACTTCTCCAATGCTCATATTTTCTCAGTAATAAAAAATAATGATAATAATATTGCATAAAATTTAATAAGCACTTATATTCAGATTCTGCTGATGATTTATACATTTGTCTCATCTAATCCTCACAATGTCTCTATGAAGCAGGTATTATTATAAACCACACTTAAAGATGGGCCAAGTACTTTCCCTACTCACATGGCAGAGCTAGTACATTGCAATAGCAAGATTAACCATTAGAGGCCTTTACAAGAACAACAGATTAATAAGTAAATCAGTGAAACATGAAAGGTAATGGGGATGGTCCTTTCAACATCCCTCTGCTTTCATTTTATAGTAGACTGCCCCACTGAGTTGCTACCAAAAAAGTTTGATAATTAATTTAAGAAAGATTAAGTTTATGTACTAACAGACACTGTACCATCCCTTTTGAATATAACATTTAACAGAGTTTCTTTTTGTTTTAGTGCTAGGAACTTAAAAGCTAGTGAGTGTGAATATGTGAATATTCAAAATATTTTTTAAACTTATATAAACATAAGTTTGTATTAATGGTCATCTGTCTGAATAGAAAAGATACTGCTACTTCTGAATTTCCTTCCACCTCAAAAAATTCTGTTTGTGTAGTTAGATGGATTAGATATTAATTCTACTTCTGAGAAATAATAATCTTTTTATTAAGAAATAGAAATTGCTCATTTGAGCATTAAAAGATTTTAAAATTGAGAAATTGTGTAGGTAGAGTTTTGATATAATAAAATCGAAGCAGAAAAATTACCTAAAATATACTTTAAGTGTATTTTTTCCTCTCAAGTAGGAGAAAACTGATGAGGATGGGGTGGGATTTTGTACTGGACCAAAAAAGCTAAGTTTCTGAAGTTATTTGGGAGGAGGCTTAAGTTTTATTTTAGAAGTAATTATAGTTAAATTTATTGAGCCATTCAATGCTCCAATAAGTAATTACTATTTTCCATGCACTGGACTGTGCCTTTTTACGAGTAGGATCTCACGCAGTCCTGACAACGTTGTGTACTCATTTTGCAGATGAGAAAACTGAGGCTGTGAGAGGGGAAGTAAAGGGCTCAAGGTCACGCAACTTGAGGATAGCAGAGTCATGACTCAACCTAGAGTAGGATTCAGATCCAGGTAGGCAACTCTGCTTTTGTGCCTCTTTCAGTTTGTGAAGGTGTCCCAGCGTGAAAACCTCTATAGCTGGTTGGGGGAAGAGCAGGTGAATCTGAGCTCTGAAACCTGCAACCCTTTGTGTGTGTGTGTGTGTGTGTGTGTGTGTGTGTGTGTGTGTGTGTGTGGCTGAGCACTTTTTGCTTCTTTATGAGAAACAGTCATAATTAAGGGCAGTAGTTTAAGGACACCTCAATAAGAGAGTTGGGATGGGATAGAGTTTAATGGAAAAAAATGTTCTGCTTGGAAAACATGCTAGGGAACTATGAATGGTTTTTTCTCCTTTTCATCCATAAAAAGATTAGTAGTGTAGTACTCTGAATTACTTTTCAGGCAGAGAAACTATAAAACACTGTGAAATACAGAAGCAGGATTCAGAATGTTGCATTTTGTTTTTTATTACAAAAGAAATACATGCACGTGGTAGAAGATTAGAAAATTCTGATAATAAGAAAAGAAAAAAATTTACAAAATCTGTAACTATCGTTGAGTGATAAACACCACCATTACCTTGGTGTGCATAACTCTATGTATGTTCTTTAAAAATCAAATCATGTTGTGGAACCTGTTTTGTTACCTGATTATAGCTTTTTTAAAGGTTAAAGGCATTTATTTTTGTACTTTAGGGCATAAATGGAACTACAGAAATGTCGATACAGTAAGTGTATATCCATGAGATTTTGGACTACCTTTCCATAAATCTTACTTGAATGCAGTGTTATTTTCTTCTGTTTTTTATTCAAGGTGGTGTATCACAATTATGATGTAGTTCTTTTTTTTCTAAAGATTTTCTCTTTTTTTTTTGATGTGGACCATTTTTTAAAGTCTTTATTGAATTTGTTACAATATTGCTTCTGTTTTTTTATGGTTTGGTTTTTTGGCCGCGAGGCATGTGGGATCTTAGAACCTGCACCCCATGCATTGGAAGGTGAAGTCGTAACCACTGGACCACCAGGGAAGTTCCTATGATGTAGTTCTTGATGCTAGCTACTGGGTGACTGTCAGGACTTTCATGAAATGAACTGTGAAATTGACAAACCTATATGTCAATTATGATTCTTCCAGAATGGAAGACTAATCCAGGGCCAAAATTAAAACAGAGATAATCATAATTTTTGAAAGGTAGAAGAGATCCTACAGAGTGAGTATATATGTTACACACAAGGGAAGAGAGAAAATATTCCGAAACAGTGTCCAGGGCCATACAACTGGTTATTGGTGAGAGATTGCAACTGAAATCCAGCTGTTCTGACTTCTAGTCCATTGCTTTTTCATCTATTGCACGTTTCCAACCTCCAGACTCCTAGCCCTACATAAAGAGAGGGCTCCTGGGAACCTCTCCACTGTTAAGAAATTCCACGAAGCAGAGTAATTGTCCCTATTAACTCTTTAAGTCCTGTCTATCATGGAAAGAACAGAATGACCATTCCTGTTAGGAATCTTAGGATTTAGGACAGCCATTGGAAAGATTTTTTAATTTATTTTTAAAGTCCTATGCAATATAAGGCATGGTGGGAGTTTAAGGTGGAGGGATAAATGTGGGGCAGAAGCTGGCCAGAAAATAGCCAAAGATTTAACTTCACCAATAGGAATGTTTTTCTTTTTTGTCCTCCCTCTGTCAGTTGTCATCATCCTCTTCATCATCACTATGATTTTTTTAAAAAAATCTAACATATCTCATACTTAGTATAGTCAGACACTGAATTCGGTGTTTTCATATGCATTATCTCATTTAATCTTATGAATCAAACTTATTCCCATCGTACAGATAAGCAAACCGAGGCTCAAGTGACCTTAAGTAATTTGGTCAAGGGCTTCCTAGCTGGTAATCAAGCTAGGATTCTAACTTAAGTCTTTGGGTCTCCAGAACCCATGCTCTTTACAGTCTATTACACTATTCCTCTTATAAGCATCCGTGAGGGGTTGAGGTTCAAAAACCCAAGTCAGATTGCAGAGTAATCTTGAACTTGATATGGACAGTGGCATGAAAAGGAGGTCTGAGTTGGGACACATGAGGTCTATGGCAGTGAGCTTTCTAGTTCACACAGTCCAATACTAGAAATTTGATTTCTCTGTCTATCCTTGAGGTCATGCTGGGAGTGGGGGTGTGAGAAGGATCCAACATGATCAGGCTGAAGGTCACAGCTATACTGTTTTTCTAGTAGGAAACATAGATGAAAATTAGGAATCAGGGCAGACATCCAGCTGGGTAGAATGGCTCTGAGATTTATGACAGATGCTCATGAAGGTACCACGGGGACACAGTTCACTCTGAACACCCGACACACAGGCATTGATGTAGCAGACCAATTCCAGAAGAAATATGTGTAGTTTTTACATATGACACCTGTTTCCAAAAAAGAAACTGTAGTGGAACTAAGTGCAGCTTACGTGTTATGCTCAGTTCTTGGCTAATGAGACACTTATGTGTGTTCAGGCTCAAGACACAGATGGGAATGGTGAGGATCTCCAGCTAAAGAAAAAAATGCAAGTGACCATGGGATGGTGAAGGAGCCTACTCAAGGTAATAGATGTCACCCTGGGAGGCAGAGGGACAGATTTCTCTCTCTATTGCTGCTGGTAAGGGGTGCACATTTTTCAATTTGAATATCTATAGCGGTAATTCTCAAAGTGTGGTCCCCAGACCAACAGCACCAGAATCACATGGGAACTTATTGGAAATGCACACTCTCAGGCTCCATCCCAAACCTAATTAATTAGACACTCTGGGGGTGGTGACAAACCTTCCAGGTGACTGGGATGCAACTGAAGTCTGAGACCTACTGACCTGCAGCATTACAGCATTTATTTATCAAAGCAACCATATGAGTTATGTATTGTCATCTTTGTTTTGCAGAAGGGAAATCCAAGAAATGTCAAGTTAATGTTAAGTATCATGCCCAAGATTACACAACTAGTAGATAGTAAAATTGAGATTAAACTTCACTGTTATATGGCTGTAGTTATGTATGCTTCCAGATATTTTTAACTTAACTGAATTTAAACTTTTAGTTAATGTGTTTGGATATTTTCTTCAGAGGTGATTACCATATCATGTATATCATATGTCATATCATGACATGTCATATATTATGCCATATATCATATATAATATTATACTATATATTTATCTTGCCTCTAACATAGCATTTAAATGATATAATAGGAGCCACCTTCTACATGGAATTATCTTGAAGAGCTTCCATATTAACCACCTTTCCCTCCTTTTCCCTTTAGCTCTTTTTTTTCCACAATTTATTTTGAATTTCAATGCTATGAAAGTTGAGAATAGTCCAATAAGCAACACTATATTATTTAGAATTACCAGTTAACATCTTGCCACGTATGCTTTCTCTTTCTCTTTCTGTGTGTATATAATCATGTGTATCAAACACACATATGTTTTCCTGAATTATTAGAAATAAGTTGCAGGTGTTATAACAGTTCACCTTTAAATAACTTAACGTGTATCTCCAAGGACAGGAACTTTCTCTTATATAACTGCAATACTACTAGACAGCAAATAAGTTTAACATTTGTTCAGTAATATAATCAAATATTTGGTCCATATTCAAATTTCTCCAGTTACTAAAGAAATATTGCATATGTTTTTTTAAATTCAAAATGCAACATAAATCATGCAATGCATTTTGCTGTCATGTCTTTTATTTATTTATTTATCTTTAATTTATTATTTTTTTTCTGAAGTGAAAAAATAAATTGTAGTTTATTACAAAAGAATTTACATTAAAATTAAGGGCTTCCTACAACTACTGATCTAGATGTTTGTATAACATCTGAGATATTTTTATTCAAGTATTTATTTTTTTTTGAATTTTATTTTATTTTTTTATACAGCAGGTTCTTATTTGTTATCCATTTTATACATATTAGTGTATATAAGTCAATCCCAATCCCATGTCTTTTTCACCTTGTTTATCTAGAGCCATCCCTCTGTCTTTTTGTTTGCTTTCATGCCATTGACATTTCTGGAGTGTGGGTTAGTTATTTAGAAAAACGTCCCACTTCCCACTTGTGTACTTCCTGTTGCATCCCATTAGGTAGCACATGATGCCTGTTTGTGCCATTCTTGATGAACAGCTTGGTTATTTAGTTAGGTGATGTCTGCTATAGCTCTGCAACATAAGGTACCCCTTCCTCTTGTAAATCAAAAGTGGTGTATGTGGGATGATACTTCGAGATCATAGGATGTATTATCCTGCTTTTTTAACAACTTTTCACTGAATGGTATTAACATCCCTTTGGATCCTTGTCTGAATATCACAGATATCACACGGGGTTGCAAAATGGTGATTTTTTGAATTCTATTACTTCTACATTTATTTTCTGGCATTTTTCTAGAAGAAAGAACCCTGTCCTCCATCATTTTCCCCTTTTCCTCTCTTATTTTTTTATGTACTAGGTATTACGTATATATGTATGCATGTGTTATCACTATCTACTTTGATTACATTTTCTTAAGAATGTCATTTAATTTCATGTTTTAGGTTAGTAAATCTATTATCTTTTGAAGAGAAATACATCATAATTTTTGATGAATGATGCTAACTATATGGTCACTGGACTTATACCTAGATAGAAAAAATAGAAAAAAGATTAGATGACTTGTGTATCAAATGGGAGGGTTCAGCCCTTTACTCTTCTAGTTTTTATTACTCATTAGGACTTCTTTGATGTACTTTGGGCAGAATGGAGGAGGGATGGCCAGAAAGAATCTTTTAGATTTGATTTTTTTTCAAATTCCTGTAATTATACTCTACTTTTAAGAGAAATCTGCTTTGAATTTGGTTTGTAGACTTGATCTATGGTGGATTTTTACATCTCTGTGAGTTCAATAGTCTTCTAGAAGTATTTTATATACATGTGAATATGACATATTCACATGTATATAAATGAATATGAAAATGAATATAGTTCCCTGTGGTATACAGTAGGACCTTGTTTTTCATCCATTCTAAATATAATAGTTGGCATATGCTAACCCCAATCTCCCACTTCATCCCTCCCCCACCCTCCTCCCCCTTGGCAACCACAAGTCTGTTCTCTATGTTTGTGAGTCTGTTTCTCTTTCATAGACCTTAAAAGAGGCATTAATTGCTATTTTTTTCTCATTCTATTGTTAACTCTTCTTAATGTGGCTGATTCTCACTGTTACTTCATAATTTTTTCCTGAGAGTTTTTGAAAACTGTTCCCTTTGGAAGGAAGCAAGGCAAGACACCAGTAAACTAGTCTCTTTTGTTATCAGACTTTAATGTCTTAATAATTAAGCAATTTTAATATAAATTTATATTGCAATTATTGTTCTGCTTGAGTGATTGTTGATATGTTTAGCAATTTAATATTGCACTGAAGTTAATTGTCTTTATATCACTTATGGAGGAATCTGAGAAATGATGGTGATGATTCATTGAAAATAGTCATTCCCTTCTGATACTTTTGGGAACATAGAACAATGTTATGGTTTTGATGTTTGTAACATTTAAGCTTGACAGGAGGCCCAAAGTAAGAGTGGCTTAAAGAAGGTAGGGATCTATTTCTCTTTCTCATAAACAGGAAAAAGAAGTAGGCAATCTATTACTAATAAGGAGACTCCACAGTCATGAGGGACTCAGGCTCCTTCTATCAGGTCCCTCTGCTATCTTTTTTTTTTTTTTTTGTGGGTATTCCTATTTAAAAAAAAAATTTTTTATTGAAATATAGTTGATTTACAATGTTGCGTTAGTTTCCACCAACAGTGTAGAAGTGATCTTTTTTCTCCATACCCTCACCAGCATTTATTATTTGTAGACTTTTTGATTTGGCCATTCTGACTGGTATTAGGTGATACCTCATTGTACTTTTGATTTGCATTTCTCCTATAGTTAGAAATGTTGTCCCTCTGCTATCTTAACACATAGCTTCCAATGGAAGGTCCAATATGGCTGCTCCAGATAAAAAGCTCATATGTGCTCTCAACCAGCATGAAAGAGGAAGGGTGCACCCCTCCCTTTAAAGAAGAATGCTTCCTGGAGTTCGCACACTCCTCTTCTGCTTATATCTTATTGGCCAGAATCTAGTCACATGGCCATGTCTAGCTATAAGAGAGACTGTGAAATGTAGATTTTATTCTGGGCAACCCTGTTCTGAGCTAAAAATGGGTGGTTATGTTACTAAAGAAGTAGGGGAAGTTGCATATTGGGGCAAATTAGCAATCTCTGTCATAACCTTGTAATAATTTGGGCTTTATTTGTCAATATTTTCCAGGGGCAATTGTCAACTTGTCCACTTTTTTAACAGTTGACAAATTCTCCTTGAGAACTTTATCTGTTTTCTGGAATAGTTCAATGCATTTTTCAGTAGTTCAATGACGTTATTTTAAAGCATAAGAAAAGGAGACTCTGGTCTCTCTTAAATGGTAAAGGAGAATGGCAGGGGGCACATGGATCTATGTGCTATTTCTCATCCATCTGCTCTGACACACAGATGTACCCAAACCTCCACAGGTCTGTTGCCAAAGTTTGATCAATGAGCAAAACATTAATTTCTGTAGCTGATTGTGCATATAGTTATACAGTGTTGTCACTTAGAACATTGAATGTATACAGCATGTATATGGCAGGTATACCTGCATTAGATGAGTCAAGGGCATTATGAGGGGGTCTTTGTTGGGAATCCAGGCTCTATCTGTGGATTGGCTATCATCAACATAGGGCTTCCATCGTCCACCATTACTCCCAAATTCCAGCAAGTAGGAATGGGAGGAGAGGAAGAGAGGAACACACTCCTTCCCTTTCCGGGCAGTGTCTAGAATTTGCACACATTATGCGTGTGGATCTTTTTTCTTTTTATTGAACCATCTCTTACACTCACACTTTTATACTGATTACATCTAAGATGATTATATCTAAATCAGTCCCTTAGACTTTTACATTATTTGCTATTTTTTCATGATTATAAACATCAGTATATACATTTTGAAATATGTAAATCTTTAAATGTGTTTAAAGATAAGCATTTAAATGTTTAACAATATAAATTATTGTCTGCATTTTGAATGGTATCAGAATTGGGACAAGCACAAATTTGATAAATATTGTCAGTTTTCTTTTTAAAAAATTAAAACAGCACTCTCATCAGCTATATTTGAGAGGGTCTGTTTATTGCAAACTTACTAGTGTTTTGTTTTCTCATACAGTTTTTAAAAATATATAAAGTTTCTTCATTCTAAGTGAGGTGAACATTTATTGTCTATCTGTAACTTTTTCTCTCTTCCTTTCTTATTAAGGAATCTTATTAGATATTTATATATAAATAATACTAATTTTTCTTCTCTTATATTTGTTACTTATAAATTTCCATATATTATGTCCTTTTAATTTAGCTAATGTTTCTCATTGAAGGAGAGAAATATAAAGTGCTCACAAAGTCAAATTTATTAAGTATAAATGATGTGACTTTTTCCATTGTTTTTAAGTATACAAGATATTTCTCATCCTGAGATCCAGAGATTGCAGAAATATATA